TCTTTCCTCTTTTTTTTTTTTTTTTTGGATTAATTTGGGGAGTATGTATTAACTCTTCTTTAAATGTTTGGTAAAATTTACCTATGAATACATCTGATCCTGAACTTTTGTCTCATAGTGTTTTCTTTTAAATTTTTTGATGACTGATTTAGTTTTGTTCCTCATAATTTGTTTAGATTTTTCAATTTCTTCCTGATTTGCTTTTCGAAGATTATATGTTTCTAAGCTTTATCCATTTCTTCTAGTTGTCCAGATTGTTGGCCTATAATCTAATGATCTTTTGTGTATTTGTGGTATCAGTTGTCACTTCCTCCTTTTATTTCGATTTTATTTATTCGGGGTCTTTTTAATTTTTTTCTTTGTAATATGGCTAAAGTTCATCAATTTTGCTTTTCGAAGAACCAACTCCTGGGTTTCACTTATCTTTTCTATTTTTCTTTTTGTCTCTATTTCATTTGCTTCTGCTCTTATTATTTCCTTCCTTCTAACTTTAGACTGACTTTGTTCTTCTTTTTCTGGTTCCTTTAGACAAAGATTAGATCATTTGGTTTTGTTTGTTTGCTTGTTTGTTAGTTTCTTGAGGTACACCTGTATCACTACAAATTTCCCTGTTAGAATACCTTTCATTATGTCCAAAAGCTTTGGGACCATTACATTTTTATTTTCATTTGTTTCAGGTTTTAAACTTCTCCTTTTTTTTGATTTGTCCATTGACTCACTGGTTGTTGAGTAACATTTCATTTAGCTTCCATGTGTTTGTACCTTTTTCCAGTCCTTTTCTTATAACTGATTTCTAGTTTCATACCTTTGGGGTTGGAAAAGATAAATACTTGATAAGATTTCAATCTTCCTAAATTTTGGGGGACCTGCTTTGTGACCTCACACATCTATTCTGGAGAATGTTCCATGGGCCCTTGAAAAGAACATGTATTGTGTTGTTTTGGGGTGGAATTTTCTGTGTACATCTTGAGTCTGTCTGGCCTAATGTGTCATTAAAAGTCACTGTTGCTTTATTGATTTTTTTTTCTACATGGATTATCTATCCATTGATGTAAGTGGGATGATAAAGTACCTTACTACTATTGTATTACTGTCAGTATCTCCTTTTATGTCTTCAAATACTCACTTTTTGTATTTGTGTGCTCAAATTTTGGATACATAGATATGTACAATCATTATCTTTTTACTGGATTGATCCCTTTATCATTGTGTAGTACTTTTGTTGTCTTTTGATACAATCTTTGTTTTAAAGTCTCCTTTGTCTAATATAAGTACTGCTATGTCAGCTTTTTTTTTCTCTCTCCAATTTGCATGGAATATCTTTTTCTATCCTTTAACTTTTTGTTCGTATGTGTCTATAGTGAGTCTCTTATGGGTAACTTATAGTTGGGGCTTGGTTTTCACCCCTTCAGTTAACTTACATTTTTTGATTACAGCATTTAGCTCGTTTACTTTGGAAGTAATTGATAGTTAGGTACTTATTGCCATTTTTTAATTGTTTTCTTGTTGTTTACATACTTCTCTGTTCCCTTCTTTTGTGATTGATGACTTTTTATAGTCTTATGTTTGGCTTTTTTCCTCTTTATTTTTTTTGTGTATCTATTATAGGTTTTTGGTTTGTGATTACCATGACGTTCATATATAACATCCTAAATATATAGCAGTCTATATTAAGTTGGTGATCACTTAAGCTTCAACGCATTCTAAAAGAACATTTTTACTCTGCTCCATAGTTCATGTATATGTTGTCATATTTTACATCTTTGTATTTTGAGTTCCATTTTCTTTCATTCTTTTACTCTTTATGACCTTTTGTTTTTCACTTAAAGCTCCTTTTACAGTTTCTTTTCAGGTAAGTTTAGTGGTGATGAGCTCTTTTGACTTTTTGTTTGGAAAACACTATCTCTCCTTTAATTTTGAATGATGATCTTGTTGGATCGAATATTCTTAGTTATAGGTTTTGTTTTGTTTGTTTTCCTTTTAATGCTTTGACTATATCTTGCCACTCATTTTTGGCCTGCCAAGTTTCTTTAAAAAAAAAAAAAAAAAAAAAAGTCAGCTGATAGTCTTATGGGATTTCCCTTGTGCATAATAGTTGCTCCCCTCTTGCTGCTTTTAAAATTCTCTTTATTTTTAATCTTTGCCACTTTTATTCTTGGGTGTCATGGTGTAGACCTCCTTGGATTCATCGTATTTGAGGCTTTTAGTACAAACTAAAACTGAGTATCTCTTTTTCCCCAGGTTAGGAAAATTTTTTGGTTACTATTTCTTCAAATAAGTTTCCTGCCCCTTTTATTCTTTTTTTGTCCTTCTGGGATTCCATATAATACATACATTTGTTTACATGATACTGTCCAAAAGATCCCTTAACCTATTCTCATTTTTTTTCCTGTGTCTTTCTGCTATTCAGTTTGGTCACTTTCCATTACCCAGTCTTCCAGACTACTGATTCATTCTTTTGATCCCATCAGTGTATGTTTCATATCAGTTATTGTATTCTTCAACTCTGATTGTTATTTTTTTATGTTTTCTGTTTCTTTTTTGGAGTTCTCCCTGAGTTCATTCACTCTTTTTAGTCTGGTGAGCATCTTTATGACCATTACTTTCAATTCTTTATCAAGCATATTGCACATTTCCACATCACTTAGTTCATTTCCTGAGGTTTTGCCTTGTTTTTCCATTTGGAATATTGTCTTCTGTCTCCCCATTTGCTTGACTTTGTTTATATGAATTCGGCAGAAGAGCTAATTCACCTAAACTAGAGGTATATCTGGTCACTTTCGCTGCTGGAGCTGTGGCTGTGGTGAGCTGGGGAACCTGGGACCCTCCAGGCTGGGACTGTCCTGGCAGCACAGCTGAACTGAAGTAGATGTAAGCTTGGGTGTCTCAGAGCACTCTGCACAGAAGGGGCACCCTGGTGGGGTGACTGAAGCATATATGGGCATGGGCTGTGTGTCCCAGGGTACTTCACACCCAAGGCATCCTGGCACAATGGCTGGAGCTGAGGTGGAAGTGGCCCAGGTGTTCCCAAAGCACTCCAGGTAGGGCTCCCCCTGCCAAATTGTATAGTGCCTAAGTGGTGCAGACCTGGAGTGTTCTGGGGTGTTTTGTGCTTACACCACCTTGGAAAGATGACTGAAGCTATAGTGAGTACTGACCAGGTGTGTCCCAGTATGGGCTGCCCTAGGGCCTCCTTGATGGGACAGCTGTGGCTAGTGTTGGTTAGAGACAAGAGGCTCACTTGAGGCAATAGGCCCTCTATGGTGCCTGGATCCCATTTTTGTCCACATTATCAAGATGGAAGGAGTAAATAAACTGTGACACTTGCCAGGCCTTCCAACCTGGAGAGATTTCCAGCAGCCTTCCCATTGTATGGCAGAGATCTAAGGCTGGATCCTTTATGTTACTCTTTTAACCTGTGGCTTTTTCTGTGCCCCAGGGGCATCTGGGGCTGGTGTGGACTAGGGGCCCAGGGGTTGCTGAAGTGGTAGTCTGGCTAGGATGCCTAGACCCTGCTATCTGGAGGATAGAGGGGAATATTCACTATGATCCTAGCCAACCTCTCCAACCTGGATAGAGTTCTAGCAGCTTTCTACTTGACAGGGTTCTAAGGCTATTTTCTTTTCATTCTAATGCTTTTTTAAACCTTGTTTGTTTGCTTGTTTGTTTCTGTGCCCCAGATAGACAAACCACTCATGGTCCCTCAGTACTATCCTTTCTCACTATACTTCACAGCACTAGGCGTGGCGGTTTCTTTAGTTACTGTGTCACAGCTGTCTTGCATTCTCTACATGGTCTCTTTTTTTGTTGTGCAGAAGTTGTTTAGTTAGCTCACAGTCTTCCAGGAGGAATTGCTGTATAACTGCATGTAGATCTGGTATGTCCACAGAGGTTGTGAGTTCAGGGTCTTCTTATGCTACCATATTGGGCCAAACTCTCAATCTCCTTTTTGATCATCTCAAAATTAACTAATTTGACATATTATTATATTGGTGAAGTTCCTCACTTTTTACTATATATTATAACCCAATCATGGGAATGGAATTCTATTATAGTCAAAGGTTCTGCCCAAACTCAAAGGGATAAAATTATACAGGCATGGACACCAGGGTACAGGGATCAGATACGTTGCACTTAATTAAGATGAATGATACAAGAGAATTAGCTTTTTTCTTTCCTTTCTTTTTTTTTTTTTAAGGAAATTGATGGCCTCACTTTTAGATATGTTGAATTTGGAGATAATCAGGCATCCAATTAGAGTGGATCAGTAGGTCTTAGAAAAGTCAGTAAGGTTAGATTTGGAAATAAATATTTGGTAATGATCAGTGGAGGTGATAGTTAAATAATGGGATCATCCAGAAAAAGACTATAGCAAGAAGTGGGCTGGGATAGGAATAAGACCAGATAACTAGAGCATCTACCTGTGCATTTCCACCCATGTCTCTTGATTCCAGTCAATATCATCATGGAACTTTTCACTGTTTCTGTAGTTGGTATAATATCCTGCTTCTCTTAATTTGTGGTCCACTGTCTCTCCTCCTCCCAACTCCAAGCCAAACTACCTGGAAGTAAGAATCAAGAGCTCTTTTAGTGAAAACTTTGCACACAGATACTAAAAAAGGTGCATTCTTTTATGTACCCTGATCCCAGCTGGTGAGTTGTGGGAATTATAGAACATAAGGCTCAGTGAGGGGAGATGGTGCCATCATTAGCCCTGCGATAATTTATTTCTTCCTAACAGAAAATAGGAGTAACTGCATTTTCTTTGCTCTTCCCTCCCAGAATTGGCTATAAAGTGATAAGATGGCACAAATTTGGAATGCAGATGTGACTATATTACCTATTTCTTAAAACCTTTGTTTATTTGAATAGAAAAGCACTGAAGCCATTGCAGCGATATTGTTGAACAGTCTGAGCTGTGACTCTTTCTATAAAGAGGTAAATTTGATCAGTACATTTTCCTAGATTTTCCTCCCTTCACATAAATCTTTTTCTTTCAGGTTATATTCAAGAAGAGTGTGTCATCCCATGCCCATTTGATTGCAAGTTAAGCGACTGGTCTAGTTGGGGGTCTTGCAGCTCATCTTGTGGGATTGGAGTGCGAATTCGGTCCAAATGGCTAAAAGAAAAACCTTACAATGGAGGTCGTCCATGTCCCAGACTGGATCTCAAGAATCAGGTAAAGTACATGAAGCAACAACAACAACAACAAAACTAAAAACTTATTCACTTGATTATTTCTTTTGGAAATGGAAGTCATTGTCTTGCTACAAGTAACTCATAAAAAGTTATCACAAGTTCAAAAGAGGGGTTAGGAGGACATAAAGTAATAAAACAGAGTTAGTAATGGAGGCCTTGTCCACTCCTAGGTAATGCAGAGACCAAGTTGGTGTTATTGGCAATGATAATGTGTATGAGAAATGATCCACCTGGTTTTGTGTGGTCTTGAAGTATAGCTTGATTATTCATATTATAAAAATGATTTGAGTGTGTGTGTGTGTGTGTGTGTGTGTGTGTGTGTGTTTAAATATAAATACTAAAAAATATATAAATACTAATGTTGGGAGAATGTCAAGTACTTTATGGCAGTAAGTAGTTAGTGGTTTCATCCATGTACTCCAAAAATAGGGTACTCTTTTCCTTCACCAAACTCTTCATCTATTTTTTTCTTCTCAACCTCACTAAGGTTTCCAGTTTTTTCATGTCTTTTCTAAGCTATTTCTCTACCTGTTACCCTAAAAGTCAAAGCTATTTTCATAAATAGAATTTGGAGTATACCCTTCCATATAGATGTCTAGTAAAATTGCCATCCTACGCAAAATTGATTAGAGTATGTTAGTTGCCTTTACCCATGTAACAGTCTAAGATTTAGTTAAGAATTTTAATAAAGACCTCAGATTTCTCCCATGATTATATAGTGGTTATTAGATTAGGACAGATGTATTTTTTTAATCAATTGAATAGGTAGAGCACATGTTGATGATTTTTGAAAATTCTTTATTCTTAAAGTCGTGAAAGGTGTCCTATATGTATATATAGTTCCTTTGTAATCACGCAGCTATTTTAACAGAATAGCTGCATGCACAGGCTTCAATTAATAATTCTATTAATTTCTGCTCTATGATCCCCCTTTTGATTAGACTTTCTGTACAGATTGTTTAATGGAATGAAAATCCATATTTCCATTCTTAATTAATTTGAATGCATACAGACATGCAAGTAGATACCATGTGTCAATTAAGGCCAACATCCTAGATACTTTTCTCATAAGTTTTGCTAAAAGACCCATAATTCACTGAAAAGTGAAAAATTACCATTCCACCAAAAAACAGTTATGTTCTAAGATGGCAGAGTATTTTACTCTCTCTCTCTCTTTTTTTTTTTTTTTTTTTTTTTAAGATTATGCAGTTAGATAGTGACTATAGTTTCTTCTCTCAAAACTATTGCAAACCTATGGGGGAAGACAAGGCAGAAAATCATAAAATCAACATAGAGATTGCAAAAACAAAGAAACCCCCAAAACTTCACAAATATGGTAGTTTGGTGAGGGGGAATATTACAATATGATTAATAAAAACAGGAGAGCAACAATCAGAGCAGAGATGGTCTAAGGAGATAATAAACCTTGTTTTAGTACAAAGAAAGGTGTAAGACAGATTTATGAATACAAGGAAAATTTTTCTAGTGAATTCTATGTATGAGGACTATTTCCCCCTCTCTAGGAGATTTTCCAGACATTTAAAAAGGAAAATAACTGGGCTGTCTGGGTGGCTCTAAAGCCTCTGCCTTCCTGCTCAGGTGATGATCCCAGCATCCTGGGATCAAAACCTGCATCAGGCTTTCTGCTTAGCAAGGAGCCTGCTTCCCCCTCTCTCTGCCTGCCTCTCTGCGTACTTGTGTCTGTCAAATAATTAAAAAATAATAATGATAATAAAAAGGAAAATAACTACTAAGCATTTATAAACAATACTCGGTAGTTCTTATTCTTTCTCAAAACCTTCAATGAGAGCTAAAACTTAATAACACTTATGTTAAACACTGATTTTTAATATGCTAATTTTATGAACTAGGAAATTACCAAGGGATTAAAGGGACTTCATTGGAGTGCAGACTTTAAGACTCTATTTTCAGTATGCAAAGGCAAATGTGTAGAAGTATGTATATCAAATTTGAGAGTATGAATAAGATAAAGATAATTGTCAACTTGTTTTGACTTAAAGGAAACTTTCTCAAAATGCTTGATTGACATATGAAACTGGTAACCTTAAGAAGTAGTACAAGCTGGAAAAAAAACTTGAACCCAACTTTAAGAATAACTTAGATAAATTCCATAAGTGAAAATATGTGAGGATGGGGCTGTCTGCAAGAGGTATTTCTAACTCTTGGGTTCAAGAAGGGAATATTAGCATTCCAGAGACATTTGATTGCTATGCTCCAAAACGAATCCTGGCTTTTAATGAGGAGAAATCAAATTTAGTGTGGTATGTGGTATGTGTTCTGCTATAAAGAGGTTTCAGATGTCTAGCATGTGTGTGCCTTTGTTATGCCCCAATAATGGGTCCATGATTAAAGGACCGAGACCGATACAAAGCGAAGGTCAAGCAAAGCTTTATTTCATGCCAAGCATCAAGAATCTAACCGAACGTTCGGGGCCTCACCTCTTGCAAGAGAGGGCGACCCTTCTCTGTTTCACAGTCTAGCTTTTAAGGGCAAAGGCCATGCGGTCGGGCCTGGCCAAGCACAGGTGGCCAATGAGATTGTAACACACACAGGAAACTCCACAGTGATGCTAGGTGACCAATTGAGTTACAATTTACCCTAGTAGACATTTGAACCAGCCTATTACACCTTGATTGGGATTGGAGCCCAAAAGGCTCCCAAAGGGTGGGGCCCATACTCCTTGGTAACCAGGGAGACAGTATGCATCCCCCTACTGATCGGATGTCTCCACCTGGCCTGACCCACCTTTGTATCTGGGCTTTGTTACCTGAAGCTGGTTTCCGGGACTTGTCTCCAAGTAAATCCCCTGGGGGAAGGGGAACAGGGACAGTTTCTAAATAGGTCCTTATACCTTAATTCAACTTGAATTGAAAAACTTCACCCTAATCCATACTTTGTATTTTAACATAATTTAATTGATAGGGGCATTAGGTAATAACGCTTCCCTCTCACCTATAAGTCTCTGAACGGCAAGGAAGAATACTGTTATTTAAAAAAAAAAAAAAAAAATTGTAAATTTAGAAGAAATTCTCCTTAGAGAAATTTCTTTTCTAAAGCAAACACACTTTTTACCTGGGAGTAGATTTGTGGAAACCAATCTTTGCTGACTTCATTATATATTCTCTTAAATATAAGAGCCTCTTGTGTGATGTATGTATGTGTGCATGTTACATACTATATAGAAAACTGTTGAAAGTTATCCATAATTTCTTAACTCATCTGAAAATAAATTGGGTTGGCAGGAATTTTCATTATTGAGGAAATATTCCCCAGCTTCCATTATTTATGGCAAGTTTTCTTTAGAAAAGATGGCGATTTGTTTTCCTAAGCTGGAAATATGATCTAGTTAGAGCTACACCCACGGAGCCTTTTTTGTAAAGTTCAGTTTCACTACTGGCTTTAGGTTATTTGTCTCCTTTCCAATTAGTTCTCGGGTTTAGATTTACTTTCCTGTTTTTAGGACCAGGTTAATACTCTCTGTTCTGTTCACGTAAGTAAGCGCTTAGAAAAATATATAACCCAAATTTTAGCAGTAAGAGAGGCACATATCTTCAGTACCTCTACAAAAGGAAAATTCTGTATATGTCAGATGGAGCCAAACAGACTGTTAATAAATATATATGTAAACATATATACAATTTGTGTATATGTATATATAATGCACATGTCTATGTAAATGTCAGCCTACCTACATGTGCTTATTCATTCTTCTTCATTTCTCTGTAGAACGGGAGGTCTTGTGAAGGCAAGGTCTTTCTATTTTTGTAACTCATTCTAGCCCATAGTGCACTACCTTGTGTATTGTCAAATGATGTTTACTAGATGCTTTATTCTAAAAAAAGCCTTCTCTCTGGATGACTGGGTGGCTAGTTCTGTAGAAAAAATGTTAGAACCCTGATCTCCTATGCTATGATGTGTCATTTAAATTCTCAAAAACACTAGTCCTTCTAGAAGAAAGACATAGGGACCTCCAAACTATAATTGCCCAAAGAGTCTTTCAAAATTGATCTGAAAACTCCTGACTGTTGGATCCCCACTGAAATCTGCGTGATTTAAAAAAAAAAAAAAAAAAAAGGTTGGTGTTATGTACATAAGCTCATACACTGCTCTGAACCTGTTAGTGGAATCAATATTTATAATCTCTCATAAAAAGCCTCCCTTTTAAACCTGAAACTATCAATGTGATGGCTTTTTCTCTAGAAGTGACAAAGTGACAGCAATACTTGAATAGCTTTCTGCAAAGTATATTTGTGATGCTAAATAGTTCTGGCATGTAGTTTACTCAAAACTCTTATCAAGGCAGAAAACTTCTAAATAGTTTATTGGATTATCAGGTCAGTTGGCTGATGCCCTTGACTCTCCTGTGCATAATAAAATACATAATATATTTTAAATTTTTTATAGTCTATAATATGTTGAGTAGATTATTTAACTTTATATTTTTGCTATTTTTTTTATTTTGAATTCTCCTTAATAAAAGCTCAAATGTAGGGACATTAAAGCTCTCTTGGACTTATATTTCCCCTTATGAATTCTTCATGTGATTGAAGGCAAGAGTTCGAGGAAATTATATTTTGTTTTTGGTTGGAAATCTGTGTGTTAACAGTGTATATGGGGGTGCGGGTGGGGATGATACATTGAGATTCATTACCTATTCTTTTTAAAAATACATGCTGCCTACTTAAATACATTTTTGAGTTTTGATTATGTTTGCAACTAAATGAGAGGATATAAATTAAATATGTGTGCTTTTTTAGAAATAATTGCAATTTTAAAGGTCTGTCTTCTCCCCAAAGAGAAGTGATCTAAATTTGAAAATGAGTATAATGCATTTTATTTTTCACAGTAGGGTAATAATGTTTTAAAGAATACTTTTCTTTCCAAAGATGCACAGAAATATTTTAGCATGAATATTTCTTTCTTAGAAGAGGCTTGCGGATAAAAAAATATTTCTACAGA